TATCTATGATAAACATTTATAACAGATGATAGGTAATAATCTTCCTCCTAACAGAATTTAAAAGTAAGTATACATTGTGGCGTAATTCTTAGGTTCAGTTTCAGAACTTAATACTTCAACTTGTCCACAGTCTTTATGTTTGAAAGACCCTGACTTGTCCAATTATACATACATATTTTACTGCCTTACATATTGGTCCTTGTTAATGGAATGAGCAGTGCTTAATAATATTACTTTTATTGTCAATACTTGTCATTTCCATAAAAGTATGTGATTCCCGACATACCTGTGACATTCCGGATTCATGATTTAGTTGTTATTTTTGTTTAAAACTTGAAAATATTAAATATCAAGTGATGTTGTTAAAATTCTAATTTTGATAATAAAATGGAGGAACTATAATTATATTATATCATAGTTTTATGATAACAACAGCTTTGCACTTCTTTAAAAATCCCCCTATTTTTTGTTCAAATCCGCAAAATCCCCCATCTGGGTGGCTGGAAATATGGGATATTATGCTAAATGGTCACAAAATTCAATCTAAAAGCTTAATTTATTAAAATTTTTCAATTACTATTTGTTTGTGATCTTTTCTCTTAATTACTTTTCTAGCAGTGTTTGAAATTAGCCGTTGTCTGATAGCCTGTAACAACCAAATTTCTCTTTGAGCTACAAATATTTAACAGTAAAAAGCCTGACTGGGCCAACATATTTTCAAAGGCGATTTAAACAACTGTATTGAACAAATGAATCATGCTTGCGAAATATGATAATATCTTTCAAGACTTTCATGCTAGTGAATATTCAATCAGGTAGTCCAAGCCTAGTTTTCAAATCAGAATTACGTACAAGTTGTTCCAGTAATTTATTCCTTAAAAAGTTATTAATTAAACAATCTATATCTTTTAAGTTTTATATCCTTACAGATTTTGATAGAGGGCCGAGTTGACACATGCCTAGTTGGTATATAGGGCCTTTGCCGTATATTTTACCGGAAAAGAGTCAACTCGGCCCTATACCAAGTCGACACGGGGTCAACTTGGCCCACTTTACAAAAAGATATTTAACATATTTACTTTGCTTTGCATGTTGTTAAGGTAAATGAATAATAAGAAATATCTTATTATTATTATATAATTATACATTGTACTTCTGCCGAAATAAAATATATTTGGAAATTTTTTTTTCGATAAAATTAATAAAAATGTGTTTCCTTAGATGCATTTTGTTTGTAAAGTTATTTTCAAAAAAATATGAAACAAAAACGAGTTTACTTAATAGCATAAGCTTCTAATTAATTGCAGGTGGTCACTTATCAAATTTGAATGAATTATTCAATCATAATTATCACCTAATAATAATTAATCGGTATCCGTAACATGCACATTGATTGATAATAATACCCTGTGACAATAGGAGTATTTTGATGTCTTTTCCCTTTTTTCAAAGTGGGCCGAGTTGACCCGTGCCCAGTTGGAATAGGGCCGAGCTGACTCCGGGCGGGGTATATTTTTGGGCAGAGCTGACCCGGATTCTATTTTACAGAAAAAATTAGCAAATACATTTACTGACATGTCGACCATTATTTGTATGTACTTCAGTGTTGACAATGTTAATGTATATATTTTTTCATTACAAGTTTATCTGGCGACTAAGTTTGAATATCTGAATGTTTACTAGTCTGACATTCGCAACAGAGTTTGGTTCGAGTGGGTTGTGGTACGAATGAAAAACCCGCTTTTCAACAATGCAGGCTTTCTATAGAATAACTTTATACTAAAAATGTGAACAATATATAATTCCTAATTATAAATATGCTCTACAATTAACGAGGTGACCTAGAACTTTAACCTGCATATGATGATTATCTGCATTTTTTTTACTTCCCGAAAAAAAATCGCATTGATTGAAGTAGGTCAACTGAGGGTAACTATCCATTATGTCTATGACCGATCAATAAATAGAACAAGAGCTGTCGGTAGGACAGCATGCTCGACTATTCTTAGTGCTTGATAGTAAAAAAAATGCCTGATACAGTTACCTCCTCCTGTTTACAGGTTGGGGTCATGATGTTGAACAAGTGTCATAGTTTCAAAGCCATATGTCAATGGACTTTGAAAATATTTGAACTATTACAAAAACTTTAACGTAAATTCTAAGTCGAAAAAGGGGCATAATTCTGTCAAAATGCTTAATAGAGTTACCCCCTGCTGTCTACAGGTTGGGGTCATGATGTTGAACAAGTGTGCAAAGTTTCAAAGCCATATGTCTATGGACTTTGAAAATATTTGAACTATTACAAAAACTTTAACGTAAATTCTAAGTCGAAAAAGGGGCATAATTCTGTCAAAATGCTTGATAGAGTTACCTCCTCCTGTCTACAGGTTGGGGTCATGATGGTGAACAATTGTGCAAAGTTTCAAAGCCATATGTCAATGGACTTTGAAAATATTTGAACTATTACAAAAACTTTAACGTAAATTCTAAGTCGAAAAAGGGGCATAATTCTGTCAAAATACTTGATAGAGTTACCTCCTCCTGTCTACAGGTTGGGGTCATGATGGTGAACAAGTGTGCAAAGTTTCAAAGCATATGTCAATGGACTTTGAAAATATTTGAACTATTTACAAAAACTTTAACGTAAATTCTAAGTCGAAAAAGGGGCATAATTCTGTCAAAATGCTTGATAGAGTTAACCTCCTCATGTCTACAGGTTGGGGTCATGATGGTGAACAAGTGTGCAAAGTTTCAAAGCCATATGTCAATGGACTTTGAAAATATTTGAACTATTACAAAAACTTTAACGTAAATTCTAAGTCGAAAAAGGGGCATAATTCTGTCAAAATGCTTGATAGAGTTACCTCCTCCTGTCTACAGGTTGGGGTCATGATGGTGAACAAGTGTGCAAAGTTTCAAAGCCATATGTCAATGGACTTTGAAAATATTTGAACTATTACAAAAACTTTAACATAAGTGGTTACGCCGACGCCGACGCTCGGGTGACTGCAATAGCTCTACTTATTCTTATCGAATAGTCGAGCTAAAAATTATTTCATTATACCAGTTTAATATTAATTTTTACCAGTTTTCAACATTTCCGTGGATAGCCTTATAGCTCTGTATTTCTCTGCATTGCTGCCATTTAATTTTCAATATGGCGCCTGTCCTGAATTATTCGATGGTCTCTGTGAGGAAAATCCGTCACGCATGCGCACTTGAAATTTATATACCAAAAAAGGTTTGCCGGCTACAGACCATCGTCCAACTGATAATAGCAAAGTTACAGTCAGTTACCGCCAAAACAATGAAAATTTCAATAATTTGACCTTCAAAGACAATGTCATTAATGAATGCAGGTCAAGGTCTTTCGGTATATTTTTTACAGTAATCTTTGAAGATTATTATGTTCAAGTTTCAGGACAATCCATTCAAAAATAACAAACTTACAGCCAATAAAAGCCAAAAAAATGAAAATTTCAATAATTTGACCTTCAAAGTCAAGGTCATTTATAAATGAGTGAAGGTCAAGGTCTGGCTGGTTATTTTTAAGGGATATCCTTAAACAGGGCTAGCACTGGCAATTTTTTTCTTTGAGCCAATTCTTCGCGGCGAAAATTGCCTGCGTGTATTTTATTTTCAAATCGGGCTATGGTATGGCATGGGATATTTAGAAAAGCATTAACTATTATCCAACTTAATTTTGGTAGCTACATTTTTATTACATTAACAAATCTTACATACATTGTATACGAGTATAATTTAAAGTCAGTAATCATAATTTTAAGCTTAGAGGTCAGTTACTATAACATTTGCCAAAAGTTTCATGTAGGCAGCAAGGTTCCCTTAAAATCTAAGTCTGTGGCACGTTAGTGACATAAGGTCAATCTTTTTTTTTTTTCAGGAATACTCTGTATGCCAAAATAATCCTTCTCAATTTTTATATTTTTGGAGCCATAATTAGGTCAGATTTCTGGGCCAAATACCATTCTCTGTAGTGGCCCAATAAAGCCTGCCTTCCCAACCAAACTAGCCTCTTTTTCCCCCAGTTTGGTCCTCAAAATCCCCCAGTCTTTTGAAATTTCCCATAGAATTTAGAACAAAATTAAATGATGGTGTTGAATTTAGGCCTTTTACTGCCTTATTAGTATTTCCCACTGCTTTTTGCTGTGTCCTATTTTGAAGAACATGAGACCCCTTTTCCCAAAGTATGCTACAATCACGCATATTTTCCCAAGAAAAAGGCAGAGGCCCCTTCCCTCAAAAAATGGTGTTATGGCCCTGGATTTTATTGGCAATAAACTCCTTTCCCACCACCACCAAAAAAAAAATCAACAACAAATAACTCCATCAACTCTCTGTTTATCAACAACGATAAAATTTTACTGGTCAAGTTGCCAACTGCAAGAACATAATTTGTCGCCATTTCATACCCAAAATGCTGATTTGATTAGCGACAATCTGAGATGCGCTAGTTATTGTTTCATATTGAATATTAAGACCAAATTATCCAGTGCATATTCAACAATCTGCCACAGGTATTTTTCACACCATTAGTGTCGTATTTATCAGCTGATAAACATGTAAACATACCCTGAGGGTCAGTGTATTAGACTGTGTAACTGTTCATATCAATATTTCGTTTGGAACGCAAGTTACAAATATAAAACCAGTCAATGACCCACAAAAAGTAGACTGTGTCAGCTGTGTTTTGAGATAAGAAGTGATAAAACGGAAGTTGTAGATGGAAAACCAGATGTGTACTTTTCCATTCTTAAAATAGAAAATGCTAAATTTAGACTGGAGATTCCAAAAGTCATACTTTTCGTAAGTTTGAGCCAATCGTGATTTTCTTGAGCCAATTTAATTATTTTGGAGCCAATTTGCTCATTGGCTCCTGCCAGCGCGAGCCCTGCTTAAAGATTATTATGTTCATGTTTGAAGACAGTCCATTCAAAAATAACAAAGTTACAGCCAATAACAGCATGAACAAGCAAAAATGGGGGATATCGGTCAGTTACGTCCCTTGATTCGGCAGGTGCTCGATAGGTGGCGCTGTTGTTGATTTGGTCCCTGTCCACTTCCGTGTTGGATAAGAAAAAACAAACTTCGAGATTAACATAATACAGATTATTTGATTAAAAGTTGATGAAATGGCTTCGCAGTTTAGCTCTCTTTCATTAGGGCAGCTCAGGACTGAATTACGTAAACGTAATGCTAAACTTTCTGGACGAAAGAAGGAGTTAATAGAAAGGTAAATTTATGTTTTGTAAAACTAACGATGGATGCTCCATATTAAAATTGTTTCAATCGTTGTTTGAGTTTCTTGCATTTACATTAATTATAAACAGCCGATGGAATTTAATTTTAAATACACTATGTTATTGATAGTTTAACACGATTATAGCCATTGGGTCAAATGAAGTCCGTATTGATATTTTTTATACACGAAGAACAGTAAGTGGGTGGGGTAATACATTTTTCTTGCATTTACATTGATTGCAACTGTCGATGGGATTCAATTATAAATACACCGTATTATTGATTGTTATCTTGATTATAGCCATATGGCTCATATGAAGTTTGTATTGATATTAATTATACTTGAATGACAGTATATGGGTGGGGTAATACTAAACATTTTTTTAATCAATTTGCTTTCATTTATAAATTATGTGTATGAATTGATATATAATATATACTAGTTTTTAATTTGTATTTCAGATTGGAGGCTTATGAAAGGAACAACAACTTCAACCAGAATGATGATCTCCTTCCTGAATTTTGTATGGACTTGCCAAAGGTCACTGGTTACAAAGACGTGCACAGCGAGGTTGAGATGCCACCTATCACATATGAGCATGGATGTGAATTTCTGCAACAGTTCAATGTAGAATTTGATCAGACGGTTTCCGATTTATACAATGACAAATTTCTTCTGTATCTAAGAGTGTGCAAAGTGAAAGACCTTTATTTTGTAAAGAGTGCATGTCATGCAGAAATGAAAAAGAACATCACATACATAGTTGACATTTCTGTGAAACCAAATGGTCGTGTTTTTGAAACTCAGTGTGAATGTGGAGCTGGTGAAGGTCCTTTAGGCCATTGTAAACATATTAAAACTGTTCTCTTTGCCTGTTGTCGTTTTGTGAAAACAAAGGAACTAAAAGTGGAACTGTCCTGTACAGAAAAATTGATGTCATTTCACAAGACAAAAAAACATAAAGGTTCACCTTTAAAAGCTAGAAACTTAAATGTAGCTGGAGCAGATGCAGTATCTAACTTTCAAGATTTTGACCCCAGACCACAAAAATACAGAAATGCTGAAGAATATAAAGACTATTTCTATAATACATGTATGAATTTTAAAGGAATTTCAATGACTCCAATTTTTCAGACATTCCCTCCAGCTAATGTAAGGGCTTATGCCCATGACCATGATTATTTAGCACTCACCCAGGAGGACATTCTGCTGAATGCAATGAAAGTGAATCAAATAACTGAACAGGATTACAAAAACATTGAGGAAATAACTCGTGGTCAGAACACAAATGAACGTTGGATTGAGGAAAGAGGAAAACGACTTCAGTCTTCCAATTTCTACAGAATTTGTACGGCCACGGAAAGAACTGATCTTAATAAATTGGCCGAGTCTATGGTGCTTGGTAAAAGCATCAAGACGAACGAAGCGATGCGACATGGCCATAAGCACGAAAGAGAGGCTATTCAGCGTTTTGAGGCAGATTGTAACATAAAAGTTGTTAACTGTGGAATTTTTGTTTCTAAAATATTACCATTTATTGGTGCATCCCCAGACGGAATTGTCAGTGACAAAGTTATTTGTGAGGTTAAATGTCCGTTCTCTGCACGAGAAAAAGAAATTTCCCCTTTAACTGTGCCATACTTAAAAATTAAAGACAATGCCCTCACTCTTAGTCCTACACACCCCTACTATTATCAAATTCAAGGACAGCTGTATTGTTCAGAAAGAGAGTTCTGTTATTTGATTATATATACATTGACAGACATAAAATATATCAAAATTGAGAGGGACAGTGAATTTATTGCTAAAATGTTGGACAAACTTAAGTATTTTTATGAACATCATTTCAAAGCTGTACTTTTGAGAAAGTATTTGTACAAGGACTATTAGACTGTTAAGAGTTCAAAGGTTAAAGTCATGAACACATTTAAGTGTCAGTGGTAATGGTGATTGTAAGTTTAACTGACAGTGTTCAACTGTTGAAGATGTACAAATGATGCTTTATTTTTTAATGTGATTAACATGTGTTGATCTCTACCCTCAAGGAGCTGAATGATTTAAATTCCATATCACAAAACTGTGTTTTCATTATTGATATGTAAAATGTAAATGCACTCACTGTATGTAAATTTACACACTGTATGTATATGCACTCACTGTACATATTTGCTATTTTTATTCAACTGTTTTGTTCAAAATTAAACTATTTTCACCATACAAGTTTGTTTATTGCATTACTTCTATTACATCTATTATAAAGAGATAATATGGTGGCTGAGTTTGCCTTCTATTGATTTGGAGTTACACTGTATCCCTGCTTAGCTCAATAAGGAGCACATCAGATTGACAATATAGGGGGTCACTTGTGGTAAAATTGGCAACAATTGGTTAGTTATCCAAGAAAGCCGGTAGGACACCACCGAAATAACCAAAAACAATAACCTGCATCGGAGAAAAAAGATTAATTTTAAGATACAGATTGTTTCAACCAGTACTGGTTACTTCCAGGAAACAAACTTGAACATAATTAAAACAATATGATTAATTTACAAATCAGACTTTATTTTGTAGAACTATACGATTCATACATTACTATCAAGTTAATCATTGGTACATGAAAATGAAATCAAATGAGCCGCGTCATGACAAAACCAACGTAATGCGTTTGCGACCAGCATGGATCAAGACCAGCCTGGGCATCCGCGCAGTCTGATCAGGATCCATGCTGTTCGCTTACAAACCCTATTACAATTAGAGAAACTGATAGCGAACAGCATGGATCCTGATCAGACTGCGTGGATGTGCAGGCTGGTCTGGATCCATGCTGGTCTCAAACCCACTATGTTGGTTTTGTCGTGACGCGGCTCAAATATTTAAGCAAGACAGCAAATGTAAAGGTGAACACATGAATATTAAGACTTTTTAAGTGACATGTCTCCATATGATTGAAATTCAGCCTGTCAAAATATTACCTTAGAAAAAACAATGTTAGTGTTATTTTTATATTTCAATGTGCTATGCAAAATATGACAAAATTTACACAATTCTTATCCAAATTCCATTATAAGTAGACTAAGAGTGAGTCAAAGATAATTTTTCTCCATTCATAATTTATGGATTATTTCTGTAGATAGTATTTAAGTTATCAAATATTATCCAAACAAATATGGAGGCATGCTACATTTACAAAAAGATGAATATAAGTTATGTTAAATAAAATTTAAAGAACAAATTTTAGTAAAGTCCTTTGATTTTGGTTTCAAATCTTTCAGTTCAAGATAGTTCTGGATTGTGCATTCTGTAAACTAACTACATGCAAATGTAACAATGTTCAATGTGTATTTAATCAAAAGTTATATGAATAAAAGTAACAATCATCATGAAATTGTATGCACAATGAAAACTATCCTATGCCATTACTGAAATCAACAGTGACTTAATAAGTGGTTCTTTAACACAGGATATTCCTTAATAAGAGTGATTGCAAAATAAAGTGTTTACTGCTTAAGCATGTTCAACTGCACAATTGTCATTTTAAGAATTTTAAGAATATCACACTAATGGGAATTATATAAACTGCGCCTGCCATTTTCCTAATCATATTACTAAATATTATTAGCAGTCCAGTACAATATGGGTACTTGTTATTCTAATTCCATTCTACTCAATCAAATCATTATGCTGATGAGGATACGATTCTATGCCTGAAATTACATAACATGAAACAAATAAAAACAATTTGAGAAGAGAATTTGGTTTCAGTGGCAGTCATGGGTTCCTTCAAAATCTTATATGTTTTTGCAAGTCCAATAAGCCTTTCAATATGCACACGCTTGCTTGAAATTTTCCGGTCTCTTATAACTGTTTGATTTGAAATTCTGTTTTTTTTTTTAAAGAAAGTTGGTATATTTATGTGAATATCATGCGGTGCGAATATGTCCTGGACATTGAAGCCTTTGTCAGCCATTATGCTATCATTTGGAGAACACATATTCACAAGAGAACTCCTCTCAACAATCTGTCTATCGCTGGTCGAACCTCCGTATGCTTCAGATACAAATGACACCAGGCCACCCGGAGTTGCGCCAACAAGAACTTTAATGGTGTTTCTGTTTTTATATGTGGAAAAGGTGGCCTGTTGTGAAGTCGGGTTTTTAGGTTTTTTAATGGGACACTCTGTGCCATCTACTATAACTCTTGTGTTAGGATAATTCCTCCTAAAACTATTTGGGGAAAAGTGCTTAACAAGGCTTTGGGCCTTTGGCTAGGCCAAATATTAAGTTCCTTCCATTGTTTTTCCATAAAAATTATCCATGTGATAAAAATATTTGAAATTACACTTTCTGCTATGCCAAACATCCTTGATAATTCAAAGTTAGTTGTGTGTCTTCTGAGCTTCATTAAAACCATGAAAAACTGGTCTGGTACACTTATATTTTCAACGGCATGGTATACATAATTTAAACAGAATGCAGCAGGACCAAGGGTATTTAGAACAAAAAGGAACTTCAAATAGTTCTCTAACCCAGTATAAAAATGTATAGCTGCTGGATCATTTTCAAAGTTGTAAATGCTGAATGCTGGGGATTTCAACGTTTGTACCTCAGCATCAACTTTCTTATGTTCATACTGTTCACTGCCTGTGTCTTCATCTACATAATCTGTTTCCATAGGAACTACTTCTTCACATGCACCAACTGCAAGGTCATCACAAACAATGTCAAGTTTTGTGGCAATAAATTCTGGTTCTGAATCGTATTCACTCGAGTTCATGTTTGTGAGATCATTAAAAAGTTTCCTCTTTCGCGAAGCCCTTATATCATACCGGTCTTTGCGTTCTTTTGACTTCAGTAGTGTGGCTGGACATGTCCAGGAAAATACACTTGGTACAGCAGATTTCTTTAATGCTCTATTAATCCTCTTTGAACCTGGAAATCATAAGAAAAAATTAAACAAGCAATAAATTTTCAACAACAAAAAAATATTCTTGTTTACTTTAACAGAGATGTATGATACGTACATTGTAATTATCTATATCTCTGACTTTACTGCCAGTGTCAGTTGTCTGTTGTCATGCCATAATTTAAAATGCATATATTAACAGTGATTAATGTTATCAAGTTACAAAATATTCATTGCCTTTTTGTAATTCACGGAGAAATGACATGACATACATGGATGCTCGATCGGCCACCAATGTAAACATCTCAAGCCGGTAATTTGTAATTATGTCATGTAAGACATACAATTTAAAAACTATCGGTAAAAAAGTTTGGGTATTTAAAACTGCCTATTCTGTTACAAAACTTAAACACTGA